TTGCATGGAGCTAAATGCAAAGAGATGTTATGAAGCAACTGTTAGAGAAGAAACCCCAGGTAAAAAAAATAAAGACCTGGGGCTTCCCAGGAGGCTCAGTGGTGAAGAATCCGCCTGCCATTGATGCGGACCGTGACGATCGTGTTGGAGAAAGCCATCGCTATTTTATTTAGGCTTAAGGAACTGAAGACTCAGCTGGGAGCCTCTGGAGAGTTCTGAAGCAGTGATTTCTCGTCCTTACATGTACATATGAATCACCTGGGGTATTGCATTTGCAAGCTGGTTCTGATTCAATAAGTTGCAGACAAGTGTGAGATCCTGGATTTCTGATAAACTTGCTGGCGAGTTCTGCCAGCCAATCAATACATCGTTCTGTTTGCATACAGGGAGGGATGTGAAGTGTGAAAGTGTTAGTCGCTCAGTCTTGTCTGACTCTTTGCCTCGCCACGGACAGCAGCCAGCCAGGCTTCTCTGTCCATGGGGTTCTCCAGGCAAAATACTGAGAGGGTTTCCATTCCCTTCTCCCGGGGATCTTCCCGACCCAGGGATTGAACCTGGGTCTCCCGCATTGCAGGTAGATGCTTTGCCGTCTGAGCCACCAGGGGAGCCCACAGCGGGGGATGGGAGGACATACCTGGGGATGGATCTTTAGAGCGTTGGGAGGGGTCGGGAGTCAGGGTTGGGAGACAGCGAGTAAGGCAGGGTTTATTGACATGGGGCACTCATGATCCAGGATTCATATCCTGGTGAGGGCACAGAAGACACTCTGGTTACTAGAGTGATAAGGAATCCACTAGTAAGGGATGGGGGACACCGACATCCTGTCGTCCGCAGGCCAAGGTTGACTGCAGGGGATGCTGCATTAGACTTGGGCTCCGTGCTCATCCTGAAGTACCAAAGGCCAAATGGAGGCACTTAATCATCAGAGGCAAGCTGGAGGTGACTGTCATGGTGAGACTTAAGGCAGACGCACAGTCTGGGCTTTGACCTGCAAGGGCCTCTGGCGGTGACAGGCTGGTGTGTGTAGGGACAAGGTCATAGGTAGCCCTTGGCGGTGCTGCTTGACCTGTGTATCCGAAAAGGTCAAGAGCAAATGAGCAGAAGGCTGGTATCAGCGGCCGCTGTGAAAAATCACCGTCTCTCCTCCAGTTTTTAGACAGGAGTCCGTTCTCAGACCCAGAGCACATTATTAAAGGGGGGATCAGGTGCTTTTCAGGCTTCCCATGTGGTGCTAATGGTAAATGCAGGAGTGGCGTGATGACAGTCAACGGTGATGACTGGGGACATCTGCCTGCCAATGCAGGAGACATAAGAGACACAAGTTCAATTCCTGGTTGGGAAGATCCCCTGGAGGAGGGCATGGCAACCCACTCCAGCATTCTTGCCTGGAGAATCCCATGGACAGAGGAGCCTGGTGGGCTATGGTGCATTGGGTTGCAAAGAGCGGGACACAACTGAAGTGACTAACACACACACAGGTGCTTTTCCGGAAGAATCGGGCAGCATACCACGTCAGATATGTTTGGAAGCTCATCCCCTAATCTTCCCCCAAATCCCACAGCCATTGAGCACAGTAATTCTATGGTAGGGGAAGGAGACTACCGAGGTCTTTCAAGGATCTGAGTCGGTACTGTTAACAGAGGGCCCAGACCACCTGCACGGCCCCCTGTTAGAGTGGTGTGCACAAAGCCGTGTGATGAATGTCTCAAATCAGTCTCAAAATGGGTCCAGATTGGGTCTGTGAACCGTACGGAGATCTCTTCCCCATTTCAGAGGTATGCTGGTAAACCTGCTCTCCCCAGAGAAGGAGAAGATAGAGGAGGAGGGGGAGGCAGGGGAGAAGGAAGAGAAAAGAAAAAAAGCCCTCGCCTAAACATGTGCCCTTTACTGATTTTTATGTAGTCCATGCTCCAACCACGGCTAACTTCCAGCCACCGGCATGAAGTCGTTGAACACGACCTGGGGAAAAGATGCCTCAGACTCTCCCTGTAGAAACAGGGTGGATGCACAGTGGGACTCACCTGGAGGCCTTCAGCCCGCGGGCCAGGGCCCGCAGCTGTTTGGGTGAATCATCTCTTTCCTTCCACCCGAGCCTTGCTGACATTGCTGACACGGCTGTAATTGTTGGTCTAGCGGCGCCGAGGAGTCACAGCGCAGGTCAGGGCAGCAAACACTGTCTAACAAGGCATCCGGCTGCGGGGAGGCCTTCGTCTAACTCCCAGGCGAGGGGCGACCGCTCTCCTCCGGCAAGTGGGAGGCGGTGACTCTGCCAGCCCAGAGCTCCAGGAACCTGAGGGTTCAGGCTCACCTCCCAGGGTTTCCCATCGCCGGTCCTGGGTGCCACGCCCTTCTCCGGGCCCTCGCTTCCCTGCAGGAGACACGCCATGGCTGTGATCCAACCTGCTCTGTTACTGCAGCCCTCTGACAATCAGGTTCTAGACCTGGCTTTCTTCCTGACCAGCCCTCAGTTGCAGGGGATGAGGATTTTAAAACACGCTGCCGTGGAAGCTTTCTGGTTTTCACACTGTGTTCTAAGCTGACGGTTTGCTGCACTGAGACTGTTGTTTTCTTCCTTTAGGTTTCAACAGTAGTTAACCACAGCTCAGCAACTCTCTAGACTCAGACGTGCCGGAGCTGTTACATGAGCTGGTGCACCCCCTTCCAGCAGATTCCATCTGACCTCACTGCAGATGAGAACTTTAGAGAACTCACACATAGCTGAGTGAGATAAGAATCTTAGACAGCCTGTCAGAACTTCCCTTAACGCCAACAGTGGGGTCTCCAGCATTGGGCTGATCAGTGATCCAGTTCCACAGTTCCATCCTCGGGGTGTTCGTCTAGGACAACGTCCAGCACCAGCTGTCGTAGGTTATTGCTGTTGTTCAGCTGCTGAGTTCTGTCTGGCCCTTACGACCCCATGGACTGCAGCGCACTAGCCCCTCTGTCCTCCACCATCTCCCGGAGCTTGCTCAAACTGGTGTCCATGGAGTCGGTGATGCTACCTAACCATCTCATCCTCTGCCACCCTCTTCTGCTTTTGCCTTCAATTTTCCCCACCATTGGGATCCTTGACAGATGGATTTGAGTCTAAATATTTTATTTTTGAGAGGATCCCAGGAAGCACCACAAAGAAAGGCAGGGGCCTGATAAAGGAAGTGCAATCCAATAGGCACCCTCTGGAGAACACTGGGGCTTCATGGCACTGGGAAATATTCTGGACCATTCCTCAGAGTTGTCCACTGTCCTGAGGGGTGAGGAAACTGATGTGTTAATCCACCCACATCTCAGCTATCATTGCTTGAGGGCTGTGTCTGGCATGATATTAACTCCTCGGCAGCCCCAAACAGCCCTCGGCAGAGGAAAATCTGCCATTTACAAGAGGGAGCCATAGGTCTTTTGAGGCGCTTGCCAAGGAGATGTGGGCTGGGCACGTGAGTCCCTGCTGCAAGCTGGGGTTGTAGAGCTGAGTTAAGGGTCACTTCACCCTGGCGGCAGCAGCAATGCCAAAACGAATTCAGAGTAAAGCCAGCCCAAGTGGGGACTTTCCAAGCGGAAAGTCTTGGGGAAAGGGAGACCTCAGTGCTGGAGCCAGCGATGACATGATGGCCGGGAACCACAATTCCAGCTGAAGATGGGAATGTCGCCCTGCCACGTGGGATGAGTCACCCACCACGCCAGTCCTTGCGAGACTCTTCACAGCCTGGGGTGAGCCCCGAGCCAGTTCCCAGGAGACTCTCCGCGGATGCTGGGAGACGTGGTCCACAGATGGGTTGGTGGTAATTTAGCTGCTCAGTCGAGTCTGACCCTGCGACCCCATGCCTGTGGCCCTCCAGGCTCCTGTGTCCATGGATTCTCCAGGCAAGAATACTGGAGTGAGATGCCCTTTCCTTCACCAGGGGATCTTCCCCACCCAAGGACAGAAACAGGTCTCCTGCATCACAGGCAGATTTTTTACCGACTGAGCTACCAGGGAAGCCCACGATGGGTTAATCTGACAAATTAACACTATGCTTTCAGGTAACAACCCGTGATCCCAGCAAAAAAGGCCCCTGACGGAGTGAAACTCTCCTCAGATGAGAGTTTCAAGCACAGGCTGTAGGAAGCGATAGATATACAGGTTTTGGGTTTTGTTTGTTTTTGTAGGGACTCTCACAGGATATTGAGAATACTAAAAGCAACTACTAAACATTGCTATGGAGTTCTTGGAGCACTTTCACATATTCACTAGTTCAGTCGACTTTCACAAGCCGGTGAAGACAAATACGGCGGAGGTTTGGCCTCATTTTAGAGATCAGAACACTGAGATGCAGAGAGATTAAGTGACTCACTGCAAGGTCCTGATACCACATAGTGGTTGGAGAACAGGCTCAACCTCCAATCTCTGACTGCCTGTCACTCAGAGCTTGTTCCTAGAGCAGCATTTCTCCCATTAGCTTAAAAGAGCATCTTGGTAGCAGCAATGTTCCAGGTATGCTTCAGCATCCCCGGTGCCGGCATATTCTCAGTATCTAATATCTGTATGTTAAGCAAATGAATGTTGAAGTCCCTCCAGAAGACTTGCAAACTGATACAGCAGCTTTCATCAACTCCCCTGTCTTTCGTCTCTCCTCCTAGCTACGCCTGCACACACACACACACACACACACACACACACACACACACACACACTCTTCTCTCACACATACATTCACACACACACACAAACACACACGCTTCAGTCCTGCAGGCTATACTCCGCCCCCCCACCCCCAAGTTTATTGAGACCAAGTTGACATGTAAAACTGTAAATTATTTAAAGTGTACATCGTGGTGATTTGATATACATATAGATAGGGAAAGTATTCCCCTGTTTAGTTCATTAACACATCCATCACATTTATTTAGAACATTTGAGTTCTGCTCTTTGAGGAAATTTCAATTAAACAAGGCATTTTTGATAGTTCTTGGAAAGCCTTGGAGAAACTGAGAGATCTAAAGACTGAGAAGGAATCAGCGCTAACCTGACGTTTATCAGGACACCCACACTGCTCTCTGGACGCGTCTTTGCAGTTGGAAGGTGGAATCTGACGGTTCTCCAGCCTCCTGGGGTCTGCTCTCCCAAGGTCAGGCCTCCCTTCGGCGGCGTGCAGTGCCCGCTAGAGCCACGAGAGGGCGCCAGCGGCGCGGAGAGCGGCCTGCGTCTTTTCTACTTCTTTATGAAGATAAACCCCTAAATGATTGATGCCATTAATGAGCTATAAATGCAACTGGTAAAACTTCATTAGAAACAATAGTAAAATTATTTTAGTTGCCTCTTGGAAGCCTCTGTTCAGAGCATTGGTTTTGTGTATCCTGAGAGGTACGGCTATAAAGCAATGGGAATGAATTTAATTAACCATCTTAGACCTCATGTATGTAATTGACACTTTTCCTGCAAATCACAAGAACCAGTATGATTATTACAGGCATCAAAGCACTTGGCTTAGGAAATTGCCCTCTGAGTCCATTTAGAAAACATACCCAAGGAAAAAGAAATCAATTTATGTCATGCCTCTTAGGGACTCCAAATGTTATTAGCCGTCTTAAAATGTGTTTTACTCATTTGAATATAGCCGCAGGTGTCTCAAAGCTTTTCTGGAGATTAATCCACCCTCAGAGGATGACACTCACCACCTCCATTAGAGGCTATGGGAGAGAAGCGGGTGGGGGAGTTAAGAGAATCTGGCCTTGGTGCTGGGGCTGGAGCTCTCTGTTTGATGGGAGAGGAGGTGGAATGCTCATGTTGTCTTTGAAGAGTGCCCTCTTAGACTCTCCCTGGTACCCACACAACTGAGAGGAGCCTAGGGTAAGCCTCTGCTTACTCTCCCACCCCCAGAGGTGGGCCCTGAGGCAGCTAAACTTATTCTGTCCCCAAGCTTCAATCATTTATATATCATAAATACATTGAAAGGGCTAATGTCAGAACTAAAAACTAGAACTGGAAGATATCTAGAAGCATCTATATGGAGGGCTGATGAAAAATTCATTTCTTCATTAAAATATCATAGGAAGTATTGAATTTATATGAAACTTCCAAATAAAATCTTTGAACATTTTAAGTAAGAGAATGCTTTTCTATCTACATGGTTTTCTTCCTTCCTTCCTTCCTTCCTTTCTTTATTTTTGGCCGCCCGTGCCCCCTGCCATGGAAGCTCAGAGTCCTAACTGCTGGACCACCAGGGAAATTCCCTACATAATTTTCTAGGATCAGATTTGTGTTTGCAACAGTTCCTCAAGACTTCTTAATAATAACCTCTTTAGAATTTTGACAGTCACCATCGATGACTTTGTCTGCAAAAGAGAGTGATTCTATTTTTAAGACTGGTTTCACAGCCATTCAAAAGTTTACTACATTTGAAATTACGGCAAAAGAGAATCCAGCTCTATTCCTCTTCTTTCAAGATGGAGAATGTTGGCATTTCCTGGATAAGGGGAATATATTTTGATTTCAGTGAAACATTTTCAAATCAAGTATCTCAAAATAAGGAGCTCTAATGTGGAGAGGTTTTTCCAGTAGTCATATACAGATGTGAGAGTTGAACCATATAAAAGGCTGAGTGCCAAAGAATTGATGCTTTTGAATTGTGGTTTTGGAGAAGACTCTTGAGAATCCCTTAGACAGCCAAGAGATCAAACCAGTCAATCCTAAAGGTAATCAATCCTGAATAGCCATTGGAAGGACTGATGCTGAAGCTCCATTACTTTGGCCACCGATTTGAAGAGCCAGCTCATTGAAACAGACCCTGATGCTGGGAAAGAAAGCAGGTTCAAAAGGAGAAGAGGGCAGCGGAGGGTGAAGTGGTTGGATAGCATCACCGACTCGAAGGCCGTGAATGGGGGCAAACTCTGGGAGATGGTGGAGGCCAGGGAAACGGCGTGCTCCAGTCCATGGGGTCCCAAAGAGTTAGACACGACTTAGCGACCGCACCGCAGCCCTGCGCAGAGGGGACGTGCATGCACGGTTCGCGTGCTTCCTGTGAGGCCAGGAGCCGGAGGTATCCCATGGATACGAAGATGGAGATTCGGGAGCTGTGAAGGCCAGAAGCCCCTTGCTTCTTGGGTCCCTGGAGAGAGACTCTTCTGGCCTCTGCATACGCCGCTCACCCAGGCAGGCATGGCCACCCTCTGGGGGGGTGGGGGGGGCTGTCCACGTGGAAGGAGGAGGGCACCCACCTCACTGCTCACCCTCAGCTCACCCTGCACAGTGGCCAGCGAGATGGTCACGGGGATGCGCCGGGCTCTCTGGCCTCGAGGCCTCAGGAAACCAGGGTCCTGGGGCTCACTAGTAAGCGCCCCACTACAAACCGCTGTGGGAAAGCTCTTCTACTTTAGGCTCAAGGAATTTTCTCCACTCGTGTCCTGCTCAGTCAATTTGGCAGGGAGAGAAACAGAGGGATTTTCCGAGCTAAAGCTCCCCGGGTACCGTAGTGCTCTAGGCTGCCTATGCCCCAGGACTGAACTCCCTTGGAGCTTACCAGGGTTGGCATAGCCTCAGGAAGATGCTTTGAAGTGAAGTGAAAGTTGCTCAGTCGTGTCCGAGTCTTTGCGATCTCACGGACTGTAGCCCACCAAATTCCTCTGTCCATGGGATTTCCCAGGCCAAGAATACTGGAGTGGGTTGCCATTTCCTTCTCTAGGGGTCTTCCCAAACCAGGATTGAACTCAGGTCTCCTGCACTGCCGGCAGATTCTTCACCATCTGAGCCAGCAGAGACGTCAAGGCTCCTGTCTTCAGGTATCTGCTGCTACTGAGATGTGATCAACAGCCCCTTAGCTGTTCACTGTGGAATAGCTAAGAGTAATTTCAGATGTGGTTGGAACAATGGTATGACCGGAATGTGTCCAATCACCCAAGGTGACTGCTTTTGAGGGGACAGTGCTCATTTGGGTATTTTCTCCTGTTGGGATAACCTGCCTCTTCTTATCCTTCCACAGAGTCTTCTTTTATCTATAGATGAAGGGTTCTGCGGCATCTCAGAAAAACTGGGTCACTGCTCAGCTGTGTCAGCATGTAACTAGATTTGTGAATGGGCTTCACCTACTTTTAATCAGTGGTAGCTTTGTACCCTCATTTGTCTATAGCCTCTCACTAAAGAAGAGATGACTCTTTAAATGTAGCGACTTAAAATAACACACATTTATTATCTCAGTTTCTGTGGGGCAGGGATCGAGTGGGGCTCAGCCAGTGCCTCTGGCTTTAAAGCCCTCATGTGGTTGCTGTCGAGCTGTCAGCTGGGGGCTGTGGTCTCATCTGCAGACTTGGTTGGGGGAGAATATGCTTCTAAACTCATTCATGTTGCTGTTGGAAGAATTTAGTTCCTTGTGGGTCAGCTTCCCAGATGGGTCAGAGGTAAAGAATCTGCCTGCCCGTGCAGGAGGCATAGGATACCCAGGTTTGATCCCTGGGCCAGGAAGATCCCTGGGTAGGAAATGACAACCGCTCCAGTGTTCTTGCCTGGAGAAGCCCGTGAACGGAGGAGCTTGCGGGCTACAGTCCATGGGGTCACAAAGGGTTGGGCATGCATGGGCTGTTGGACTGAGGACCTTGGTTCCTGGCTGGCTCTTGGCTGGAGCTGCCCCTCAGCTCTTTGCCATGTGAGTCTTTTCTTGGGGCGGCTTATACAACAGAGCCATTGGCTTCTGTCTGAGTGAGCAAGCGAGAGAGAGGAGAAGCCCCCAAGATAGAGACTGCTAGATCTGAAACTGAGAAGGGCCCTGCAGGAGCTTCTCAGGGGGGACTCCTCTGTGTCCCCGCTTACTGCTGCTTGGGAAACGCGGTCATGAAATATGCTCTGACCTCCTAGGCCCTCGTATAGAACAAAGAACAGGCCCTAGTGGTTAATGTTTAGGGAGGCGAAGAATGCTAAAACAGAGATAGGACCGTCAGGCAGGAGTGTAACCATCATTTCAACACCAAATCAGTCACAAGGACTCCCAGTTCTGTTTCAAAAGTAAAAATAAGTCTGATGCACATGCCTAAATTGTTTTGCAGATACTAAAACCCCCGCCAGGTAGAAGTCAACCAAATGCTGAACACCAACGTGTAGCCCGAGACTCGTTGGAGCCAGAAAACTGATAATTGAGATTCTCCAAACGTCATCCATCCCACGAGTCTCTCCCTCACCCTGTCTTTGAACACCCTTGCCTGAAAGTCATCAGGGGGTTCAATCTTTTGAGCATGAGTGGTCCGCTCCCTTTGCTGGCGCCTGCAATAAATATCAGACTTCTCTTGACCCAAACCCAGCATCAGCAGATGAGTCTTACTGCATGCTGGGCGAGCAGACCCAGGCTCGATTCAGTGACAGATTTGTGACCCAGTCTTTGGAGGAATTTCTCACTAATCAGCCATAAACTGAGAAATAGGTCAATAAATCCAGCCCTCCCTCAAGGGGAGGAGGTCACACAAGCTTGAATAACAGGAGTCAGAGGTCAGCATTGGTTATCATGGAAGCTACCCATCAGCCTCTGCTTAAGGCCCGTACTTATCCCCTTTCTCTGAGGTTCTTCCTGAAGGATGAGCCGGTCTCCCCACTGTTGGAGGACTGGAACCCTCGGTCCTTGTTACTGCCTCTTTTCCCATTCACTCTCCTCCTCATCCAACAAGTATATATTGAGGCTGCCATATGCCAGATTCCATGCTACACGCTTGGAGGCCGACAGAAAAGAAGCCCCATCTGTACACACAGCTTCTTTCCCTCTGGCCTCTACCTGAGGCCTCTTGCAGTCCTCTCATAGGCCAGCTGGTTACAGCTTCTTTCCTTCCGGCCTCTACCTGAGGCCTCTTGCAGTCCTCTCATAGGCCAGCTGGTATCCCAGTGGCTTGGGTCAGGGCTCCTCCCGATGCCACCATCCTCCAAAGCACCACGTTCCGCCTCCAGCCTGGTCACTCCATCCACCCCTTGTAGGCAGCCAGACTTTTCTTCTCCATCCCGAGCCTTCCCAGATCAGCAGATCCTGCTTGCTCCCTTCTGAGCGAGGGGACCTTTCCAAGCCTCGGTGTCCTGTCGGGGCTATGACTTGTATAGTAAACTAAGATAATACAGGAAAGAACCTAGAACAGCCATTGACAACAGCAAACACTTAAACTGTGGCCTT